GAAAGAGTATCAAAAGGATGATCTGAAAACATAAGCCCTGAACAAACCTTAACCTTTTTTGTTCACAGTAAAGGAATTAAACACTTTCTTTCTCTCTAATATGTATATTTTCTTATGAACATTGTAAGGAGAGGTTGCAAATAACTAATATGGCAAACAATTTGAAGACTAAGGGAGAAAGGAAATAGTCTTCGGGTGAGGAGAGACAGAGAAGAAAAGGGGAAGGAAAGGACTGTGTATGGGCTGGGAATTAAAGCTCAATCAATCCCCTTTACTGTAAATGCAGTTGAGAGAAACAGCTGAAATACCTGCAACAGAGATGCTTCTATTTCAAGAAAGCAATTCTTTAGAGAAGATTTCTGATGCAAAACTGAGTTATTTACTGATCTTAAACCTTATTCTGTAAAATAACATTTTTCCTTAAAATATAAATTACACCTTAATAACTTTATTTTTAATATCTCATTTGTCTCTGAATTGTCATCACGTAAGTAATCAAATGCTAGAATGAGTGTATTTGCATTCATAGAAATTTTTAAAATCTGAATCTTAGAAACTCAAAATTATAAACCAACCAACCTCCATATGGGAGTTAATGAAGCATTTTATTATTCCTTACTATTTATTTGGTTTAAAGCAGTGTCATGTGGCACTAAGAGTCATAACTTACTGGTCTAAGGCTTAATCGTCACCTGTCCCTCAGGTTCAAAGAGATTTTGTTCTTTTCCCTTTGGGAACTCATAATCCTGTGAATACATTATGTGATACACTAGGTGGTTGGTTGTTTGCTTCTTTGTTTTAATATAAGAAATATGGCCTTTTTTAAGATGATAACTGACAGTGTAAATTGGATCCTGAGTTGTTACAAACCAGGTCATCACCAAGCCGCACATCGGACTCTGAAGACAATGATAAAAAAAAAAGCCTCCAAGGTATCATGGGTTTATTTTTTCTGACGAGCCGTATTCAGGTAGTTACTACTATCGTTTAAATTACCGTTGCAGGTTACATCTCTGTAAAAATCACCTGTAAGAATTCACACAGCGTGTGTGATTTACCCTGACGTAATAGTTGTCATCTGACAGTCACCTACATAACCCTGTTCTCGAGATCTAGCCTTGGTATCAGGTGCAGTAGCACATCCTTGTTCAGAGTTGTGTGGTAGCGGAAAGGATTCCAAAACTATTCCGGTGCAGTAGGAAGAATAATTTGGACCACTCGGGTGCCTCACTTTCTGCTCTCAAATTCTCACATCCTGGGAAAAGTGGTTGGGTTTTGACATGACTTTCACACACACGTGCACTTTTTTTCCCTGTAGTATAAGGCTAGGTTTACTTTACAAATGTGCAGCTTTAAAAGATACGTAATTGCATTCATTTGCAGCTTGTTTCAAAGCCAGTTTAAGTTAATAGCTGTTTCAAGTAAGTAACTGCAGCCACTTATTATGCACAGTAATACCTACTTAAACAAAATACTTAATATTTTATTTTTAATTATTTTTTGAAAGCAAAACTCAGTTTTTCATTCTGTATTCTTTAGACTGTAATGTAAAACAATACATGAAACATAAGCCAGATCATTTAAATTACTGGATAGCCACTATATTTTCTTGCTTGCAGCAATATAGACAAGGTAATTGGTTTCTTTTTAATTTTTGCAACAGAAGATAAAATTACCGAAGAAAACAGCCAGGCGATACCCAGCATATGAGCTCTATCTCTATGGGGAAGGGAACTACGCTGAAGAAAACAAAAATCTCCTATTGACAGGAATTCCAGTTCTCTTTCTTCCTGGGAATGCTGGCAGTTACAAACAAGGTAAGCATTTAGCTAAGTTATAGGTATGTTACAAAGAACTGTCATATTTACGCATTAGTTAATGACAAGAAGTTTTCTGTTTGAAATAATATCAACAAAAGTCATAATGGTTGATCATATTATGGTGTAGATGTCCTTGTTTTATGCCATGGTTAATTTCAAGCAGTCAAAAGACTTCACTTTTGTTTGAAATCTGTTGAACAGTTGAACTATAATATTTTTCTGGAGTAAGACTTTAACTTTTGAAAGCCAGAAACAGTGCGGTTATGCCGTACCATGGCAGCGCTGCACCCTTGCTGTGTTTTACCAACTCATACTTTCAGAGAAGCCACACAGACTTGCAGGCACAATAGTATCCAAAGAAGATTACGAACATAATGATTATGAGAGATACCATATGGACTTTTGTAATTGTGCATAAATTACTGCAAATCTCGATTAATGCTGTCTCTGAAAACATGGCAGTAGATTGCTATGCAGGAAATAAAATGGTATTTTCAGAGGATGTTAGAAATTAAAGTATATGAAGAAAAACTTAGAACTAAGTGAGCAGAAGTGCTACATGCTGTGGATATAATGTGCCACTTAAGATCAGTAAATATTTAAATATTTATTCCTTGAGAAATTGATTTAGGGAGACTGGCAATAAATCGTATGTTCATTTTTCAAAGCATTTTTAAAAATAAATTGTTCTGCCTTAATCAGTGGCTCAGAATAGTTTTTTGTTTCATTTATGAAAATTCGTATTTTGTTCAGAATTTATTGTGGGATAACACATTTTAATTCTGATACATTGATGAGCAGAGAAGGCATTGTTATTGTTACTTTCATACTTGTTTAAAATATATTCATATTTGCTAAGCAATGAAGATGGAAATGCTGCTGCTGCCTCTACTGGGCTTGTTATTTTGATGTGTTACAGGCACTTTTGAAACATGTTAATTCATCATCTTTCACAGGCACTAAAATGAACCTTTTAAAATGTACAAAAATCAGACTTTGAGTAAAAAAATGACAGTCCGGTTTAATTTTTGGGAATGAACCTGAGATTGGGAAAATTGAGATCCTGAGTTCTATTTAGGAATCTGTCACACACTTGCCTTGTGATCTTTGGCAATATTCTTGTTCCTTTTACCATGACTTCCAAGGTATAAAGTTGTGATAAGGTACTTGAACTTTTAAATGCTTTTTGGGTCTTTTAAAATAATTTCAAAGATGTTCTTACTGCTTATTATTTTTAGATACAACTGGTGAAATGATTGACTACAAATTAGATTTATAAACTTCATCATGCTGGGTGTTTGAACATATAAAGTATTTCATATATACTGTTTTCCAATTACATGAACTTTGCTGAAATATGTGTGATATGCTAATTTCTGTAGCAAACTTTTCCGAGCAGGAGGATGCTGCAGATCTCTGAAACTCTTGCACTCTAGAAGAATCTTGCTTCTGTGTGCTGGATTTGGGCAGACCTTTGTGGCGACCACTAGTTTATTTGCAAAAGTATATACTTGCTTTTGGGACTTCTTCTTTTATTTTCTTCTTTGACTATCACACTTTTTTATTTGTAGCCGTTACTGTTCCTATCCTGACATGTCTCCGTGGAAACTCAGGGACAATTCTGCACTCAGAAGGCTGTATTAGCAGCCAGGGTTAGATGGAGAAGACAGGTCAGAAGCAAAACCTTGTAAACAGAACATTTTCTCCCACAAGATTTTAGGTGGAAAAGTGTCCTTTGGAGTTTGATTTTTTCCAATCCCCCATACCTATTTTGGTGGTATTCTGGAATGTTGTCCTAGAATTGATGACCTTCAAAGGAATTTTGGGAAAGCCTAGCAGTAGCAATGCCTCTAGAGTTGAAGTCAAGACTGCTCGTTTTGCTTTCTTGTCCTGGTGGTGGTAAGAAGGTACAAACAAGATGAGAAAAGCAGCCCTCAGGTGAAGGAACATAATCCTTGATCTTGTATAAATTTGGGATTTTTTTAACGTACCTCTTGTAGTCAGTGGTAAGCTACGTCGCATGGTTAACTGCCATAAGCATAGTAAGCAGCTCTTGGTAACTCATTGCGAACTTTCTTTTCATCTCAGCAAGTTTGTTCTTTTCCCCATTCTTCTTGTTGTGATGTGTCTACTAATATTTTTTTAATCAGAAGGATTCTTATAAAAATAGGAAATAATTATTTCTTTTCTCATTTTACAATTTGGTTCTGACAGCTGATACTTTTGCTCTGATTATTTACCTCTTCAAATCTGTTTTTCTAAACGGAGTGTAATTACATATTAGAAAAGAGATTATTTGCTTTTGGATTTTTTTTCAGCCTGTTTTTACTTTTATAAATGATGTGAGATGAATAATGGATTTAAGATAACATTTGTTTCTTAATAGATGATATATTTATGTGTCTACTAATGACAATGCTAAGCAGTGACTATTAGATTGTTCTAATTGATGTGGTTTCTTTTCCTAGTACGTTCTCTTGGCTCCATTGCACTTAGAAAAGCAGAAGATGTTGACTTCAAGTATCATTTTAATTTCTTCAGTGTCAACTTTAATGAAGAGTTGGTTGCATTGTATGGTGGTAGTCTGCAACGACAGACCAAGTTTGTGCATGAGTGCATAAAAGTAATTCTTAAGTTGTACAGGGTAAGTAGTGACATACGCTGAATAATATACTTGCATTTTGGAATGGAATTCTGGGCTGCCTTTTCTGCTGGAAAACTGAAGAATCATGAATAAGGGAGGGAGACTTTATAACGTGTGTAGATAATTGCATGTGATAATACTGCAGTAGAGAAGTGCTGCTCTTTAATAGATTTCTAATGCTTGTGACAATCCCAGAGCCATGGTGTTAGGTTCTATACTGTGTTTGTAAATAAATACTTCCATGCACAGTGTATGCTTTTTTGTAGTAGAGTTGTAAACTTTCCCTAGTGTATTAAAATATTAATATAGCATCACCTTACATCCAGTTTTCTCTAGGAAGGTTCTTTGATAGCCTATGTCCCTAAGAGTCTCAGAAATTAAAATAAGCTGAAGTTTCTTATGCTTACACAGGCTATATAATATTTCCTTTTGAGCTGCAAACTTCACATAAGCACCTTTTTTTGAGATAACAATTAAATTTCTATTCATTTTATAAACTTACCGAGTTGATACTAGTTAATATTATCCTTGAGAGGCCATAAGTTAATTTTGGGGAAAAAAATGTACAACTGATAACCATAGTTCAATGTCAAATCTATTTTTGATGTGTTTAATTACTCTTTGCTCAAGGATCGAGAATTTGCACCGACCAGTGTTGCAATAGTAGGTCATTCCATGGGTGGTCTTGTTGCAAGAGCATTGCTTACTCTCAAGAATTTTAAGCCTGAGCTTATAAATCTCCTCATTACACAAGCCACACCTCATGTTGCACCGGTAATGCCTTTAGACAAGTATCTTACTGGTAAGTGTTGCAGGTTCTCTAATTATATTGTATTTCTTTATTGATCCTCTCAAGTATTGATAGGTAAGATTCTTGCAAATGAACAGCAGAGTATGTTTACTGTAATTACCTAGTCCTTTGTTAGTCAGGTGGTTGTGTGAGAGCACTAGCATACTGAGAGAAAGCAGCCTGTCATAAAATGGATTATGTGGACTTGAGCTTCTGTGCAGGGCCTGGAGCTCTCAGTAATTTGTAATTTTATTAAGTTGCAGAGCGTGTTACTAAATTTGTAAGCTCTCCAGTGAATGACTTTTTTTTTCTTTCTTTTTTTGTAAAACTTGACCTCTCTAATGGCTTTCTTTATCAAATTAATTGCCTAAATAGAGTTGCTAAATTTAATGTTTGTCACACCCAAGGGTTGGGGGACTAAGAATATTGAACATAGATATAATTATATATTTTATATCTATTTATATAAAAGATAGACTTTATTTTCTGCTCAGCTAAATAACTGTGGTGTAAAATATGAAGTATAATCATGCATGCACTATACACTTCTTGAAAAGCTGTATTTGACTAAACCATACTGATGAAATATGTGCTCTGTGATAATTGTGCTGCTACATGCAGATATTGAGGGAATGGTGAAGGAAAGGGAATAGACACTTATTTTCATTATTCTCTGTGGCACCCGAGAGGAATGGATTATCTTTAGCTGCTGAATTTGATTTATTGTGCTTGTATTAATTCTCTGTCCTACAATTGATTGCAATGCAATGCTTCTTCCTTGCTGACTGTTTCTGGACTGTGGCTGTCCTTAAAAGTAAATCTGTGGTTTGCTACTTAAACAATATATGTGCTCAGCTGACATAGAAAGTGCAAGTGTATCTGTGTTTCCCAACTGCTGCCTCCTTGGGGTTAAAACAATAATTTTCCTTCCTTACATGAATCAAAAGTGATAATTGGAGCTTGAATGCCTCTGGGGGGCTTATGGAAACTTTTAGTTAAATGTTTCTATAGCTTTTTTTGTATATCAAAAAGACTTATGGGGAAATTGTGATTGATTTTAATATATTTTATAGATTTTTATACAGCTGTAAACAATCATTGGATTCTAAAGGCCCAAGATTTAAGAAATTTAACTACCCTTTCTGTGGCGGGAGGATTCAGAGATTACCAAGTTCGTTCAGGACTGGCTTTTCTACCGAGATTGAGTCAACATGACAGTGCCTTATCTGTTGTGGTAAAAAAGCAAACTGTTTTTTTTTTGGTTTTGCATGGAGCTATGTTAGATAGCTATTTATGTAACGCATGTATCGGTGTGTATAGTCTATATGCAGCATAGTATAACTAAATATGAAAATACTACACGTGAAAACACAAAGTAGATAGTGTATGGTTATAAAGCCATAAGTAGTTGACATAGTATAAATGGGTGTCCACTGGAAGAGGATATGTTGGGGTGGATCTGAATCATCTACCCCTTGATACTGTTTCTTACCACCACCTTCTTGCACCTTTTTAGTTTCAGTACTTGGGTTTTATTTTCCTGTGTTTTTACAAGAGGTGTATGTGTGGAGACTCACAGACGTGCACTATAGGAGTAGACTGTTGGTTTGATTATGAAAAGACAACTTTGGCTTTCTGCCTTCTTTTTGTATTTGTTGTTTTTCAAGGAACTTAGGAATAGAAAGCATCTACTGGATTATCAAGTCCAGTCTTCTGCTTTTGCAGGCATCTATTTCCTTCCAAAATTAATCAAGCAACAGAGAAGCAGTTAGGTTTGTTATTCTATTCCCCCCACCATCGGCCTGTTCCCAACATGGAAGAAGCTGGAAAACACTGCTCAGTAGGAAGAAAACTTGTAATTTCCAACTTTCATTTACTGCTCAAGCCAGCTTTTAAATGTGTCTGTTTTGACATCAACTTGAAATGTTATCTGAAATAGTTGTCATTCCCTTGGTGTTTACCTCCTGTCCATTGTACAGAAAGCTGTCTATAAATAGTCCCAGCTCTGATTCCACTAGGCTAAGAAGATTAACTCTGCGTTCCCTTTGTCCTAGTAACCGTTCTCTGCATCTGCTCTACTTTCATTTCTCTTGAGTGTTGCTGACCAGAATTTTGCATGAGATCTTGTGTAGTGATACCAGTTGTTTCTCATGGGGTTGGTTTTTTGGTGGCTATTGTTCTTTTGTTTGTGGGTTTTGGGGTTTTGTTTTCAGGCTTGTTTTATTGGTGGTGGTTGTTTTGGGGTTTTGTTTTGTGTTTTTTTTCTTCCCAACTGTAACGCATTAATAGTTCATAGCTTACGATTCAAGTTGTACAACTTGGTGATGAGCTCCATTTCTGGGAGGCATTTTTTATATTATTAGTGCCTAAAATGCAGTACATACAATACACTTATACAAATGAGTATCTTCAGACTGTCCAGTTCTTTCTGCGTGGTGTTCCGATGCTCCTTTCTGTTGAGGATGCCTTTGATTTTTCAGCCACAGCTTTCATTGGCATGCTTCTATACTTAGGTGCCAGGATCACTTATTAAAATAGTTACATTAGTCATAGAAGCAGCCTTTGAAGAAATTCTCGGTAAGTTTCCTCCATACCATTATTTGTCCTTTTGCCATTAGTCTCTGCTATCTAACATAGATAACTTGGTCATTTTGTTTTACAAATGCTTCGGTACTTGTAACATTTTTCACTGATGATGTCATTCTGTTGTACCCTAGTCCCTGAAACTCTTAAGATAAACACTATGCTTTTTAATAATTGAGCAAATATATTTAAATAAGGAGGGGAAAGGCTTGCTTAGAATTTTCAAGTGTTGAATACTAAGAAAATCTTAATTTTTTTCCTTCTTCAGAGCTCAGCTGTGCCTAGAGCTTGGGCCTCAACAGACCATCTCTCCATAGTGTGGTAAGCTAATGGAACAAAGGTTAATTGATTGACCGTACATCCCTCTGTTCTCTACTGCTATCACATTATACAATAATTTAACATCAGCATATTATTATAATGTCTCTTCTGACCACTTTTCCTCTGGATATTTAATTTCTAGATTTGGTTTTATTTATTCTGTCTTCTAGGTGCAAAGAATTGATCCTGGCTACCATTAGAGCTTTTTTTGATCTCATAGATGAAAACACCAGGCAGGTTTGTATATGTGATCTCCTGTATATTTCCTCATCACACTTTCTTCTTCCATTCCAGAATGCTTAATCAGGACAAATATCACCCCAGTATACAGAAAACTCCTTTTTGATTATTCTAAGTCATGCTAAGAACATTGTTGCCATTTCGTACCAGTCACTGAAAAATCCTGTGGCTTTGTGTTGTTTGACCAGTGCATCAGAAATAATTATGTGTTAAATTACTTTTTATTATTGATTGCTTGATAACGAGTGTAGACTGAACTCATCTTCCATAATAGAGGAGGTTTAGTTGACCTTGCAGCAGGATAAACAAGTTTTGCTAGCTGTGTAGCTATGAATGTGACCTCTCAATGTGTGTTCGAGTCACCTCTGGCTAGTATACAAAGGGTGAAAACCTGTGATAGTTTAACTCGGACAATACTTCTCCAACTTCCCCATGTGTTGTCATAGTGGCCAGCACGTATTTGTGGTGTTCTTTAGCAAACAGCAGTTATAAATAGAATACAAGTAAAATACTAGCTTATTTGTTTACCTCCAGCTACCCTTATTTATTACTTTTTAAAATAAATACTCTGCATTTACTTTTTGGAAGCTGTTGGAGAAATCTCCCAATGTACTCTGTTCTCTTTCTGAAATGTTATGTAACAATAAATATGAATTAGAGTTAAGGTCCAGGAGGTTGAAAATACATAAGAGCAGAGCCCCAGATATAAAAAGGAAGGCTTCCAGGTGTTCTTTTTGAAACTGTTTGGGACAGACTTCTCTAGCTTCTTAGATGTACTCACTTTAATACGTGATTTATAGAGATATAAAGGGGGTAGAGTTGTTCTGGAGTTGACTGGCAGTGTGCTGGAGGGTACAACTTTCCAGAAATCCATTATAATGGCCACAGCTTTGAAAAGCTGAACAGACAAAAATGAGTCCTGGAAATTTGATTTTAAAACAAACAAAAAAACCCAACTGAAACCCAAAGTGAATCCTAATGTAGCTCTACAGCTATTTGGATGCTTGAACTATTAAGACAAGATGTAAGAAGCTGGATTTGTGAACTCAGACTAGTAAATATAAACATGAGAATTTTTCCTAAACTCTGGCATAAGTATGTTATTTCAGGAAGAATGCATGTGTGTCTAAAAAGAAAGTTTAATAGAATGGTTTCCCCGTGTTAAGAGTAGGCAAGGATATAAACCTGAAAGTTTTAGCTGTGCTTTATAACATGTGCAGACTTTCTGTATTGCAGTGATTGACTATTAATGGCATTTTATTTGTTCAGATTATTGAATTTAGAATAGATGTACCATGTCCTCTAACGATCTCTCCTGCCTGTCATCCCCAAAACTGTGTTGCTAGCTATGATCATGTGATGATTGCAAATCACACCAATCGGTAAAATAAAATTTGAGAATGTGCGCTTTTTTTTAGATAACTGAAGATCCAAAGAAGAGAATGTCTGTACTGAATCACCACTTTGTGAGACACCCTGCAAAGATGTTTGAGGAAAATCCTGAAGCTTTTACAGAACTCACAGGTGTGCAGCAGCTTTCTTTTGAACAGGATTCAATGATACTCCTTTGTTAATAGTTGTCACTATTATTCTCACTAACAAACTTCTGGAATACATTTTGTCCTTCCTCAGACATTGCTAAAATGATATATGGGTTATGAACCTAAACTATCAGCTTTTGTGTGGTTTCAGCACTAAATAGGTTAAAAGGGGTAGGAGCACAAATCTTTCACTTCTATATGGCTTAGATTCTGGGGGATGAGCAGGAGTCATATTTACACCAGGGTGTCCAGTAGACAATCTCAGAAATTGGCAATAGCTGGGTGTCAAAAGTGCAGTCTAATCTACACTTACATCCCGTGCTTGCAAGGGGGATAGTATGGGTGTTGTAGAGCTGTTGTGTCAGCCTTGTGCTACTCATGGAAATCCTGACTATTCAGATCTGCATCACCAGTGACTTCCTTCTTTTAATGACATGGCAGGGTAAAATGGACTCCACACTAATGGTTTCCTTAACTGCTAAGAATGCATAGTTAAAGGTGAAAAATTTTGACTGCATGGAGTCTTGGTAACTAAACAAGTTTTGCGGGGCACAGCTGTATTCCTAGTTTTGCTGAACCATTTTATAAAAAACATTTCAGGAATTTTCTTAATGTAAGCTATTGCAGAAGTACTATGGTAGCTTGAACTTTGGTGCCCGCTTTCGGCCACCCTGGTGTAAGAAGGCATTTAGGCATTGATATATACTGAAGTGAGTATGGAACAGAGGAGAACCAAAACAGTTAGCTCCTGGGGCACAGGACATGGGGGAGAGAGACTGAGTGAACCGGCCTTTTTCACCCTAAAGGATCCCCCTTAGCATTCCCTGTTGCTGTCTTTAACCACCTAATGAAAGATTGGAGAGAAGGTGAAGCTAGATTTTTCTCAGAGGTGCACAGTGATAACACAATAGGCAGTAGAGTCCAGTTATAACAAAAGAAATTCCGATTAGATATTAGGAAAATACTTCACCAGGAGGGTAGTCAAACACTGGAACAAGTGCCCAAAGAGGTTGCAGAACTGATTTTGTTTGTTTGTTTGCCTTTTTTGGGTCAGTTTTTAGCAATAAGGAGGAATATGTTTAAATTGGATTTCATGTTTGCATCTTCCTAATTGTGGTGACCTCTTAACACTTAGCTAAATTTCTGTGATGAACTTGTTACTCTAGTTACATAGAAGAAATATATTAACAGTGCATTAACAATTGCATGACGATTTGCATTGTTTGTATCTCTGATCTCTTCATAATTCTGTCTCATTCTTTTTCTCCAGACATATCTTTAAACTGCAACTGTTTTCTTGTACATGTTACTCACTTCATTGTCGAATTGCTTCTATACAAGTTTCTGTATTTTCTTAAAAGGCTGACAGGAACCAAGATTGGGGCTGTTTCTACTGTTGCCTCAGCTTTAATCAGTCACCCTGTAATTACATTAGTATCATTCAGTTTCTTGTTTGTTTTGTTGCCTTGAGAGCTTTGTTTCAAGCTCCATAGGGTTTTTATTTTGCAATTGGTATGTAATTGGATCCTAGGGTTTTGCTGTTTCCTGTGTAACTGATGTTAACTGTTTCATGTAATTCTAAGCAGTAGCAATCCTGAGTGTAGATTAAAGCTTATAAAGTTTATGGCTATTTACAGGTAAGAGATAAGACCTTAGTGGTAAGTAAATGATAAGATTTTGGAGATAAGGTTAATAGTTCCTGCAGTGTGGCATATAAAAACCTATTTATTTTTAGGAGCTTTCATGTGGATTACAGTCAAAGCCTCAAAATGGACTTACTCAGTTTACAATGTAAGTAATGTTTTTTTCCTCATCATGTTTTTATGGGTTTGGTTTTTTTTACTAATGACCAATTTTTTTTCCTCTTAAGGATTCTGATGGAAAATATTTCACATTTCCTCTTGCAAGCCACAGAAAATCATACAGTCATGTTTACTGTGAAAACAGTATGTTGGTGAGAAAATACTTCTTTAATGTCTGGAGTTTGTTTACAAAGCTGTATTTTTTTAAATTTAGATTTGCTGCAGTTTTAAGACAGTTTAATAAACAGTTGTTGAAATGACTGGCAGCTGTTTACATTCACAGCCTAATACATTGTGTTAGATCTATTCCCTGGTTTAGCATGTCATGCTTCATGTTCAAGGTCTGAACCCTTCAATGCCACCTGAACCTCAAATGTTTTATTTTTGACTCCCTTATGGTTACCCCCAGATCACTTTCTCATTTAATTTAGTGTAGGTGTATATTGATGGTTTTGACTGAAGAAGATATTTTTAGTGGTGCCAGGATTCAGCCATACTTCTAATTTAGGAAAGCTGTTTATATGTTTGCTTTCCCATAATAAAATTTAAGTGAGCCTGAAAGGCCACAGAGATCTTCCACTAAGCAGTGCAGGGGAATGGAAGCCAGATGAGAAACTAGCACCTTATCAGTTGTCTCCTCTGTTGAGAGGAAAGGTGATAATGTGCATTTCTTACATAAATTCAGCCAAAATGTTTTTTCTTAAATATTTTTTGAAAGGAATGAATGTAATCTCTTGGGAAACTGGAGGTGGATAAATATGCTTTTCAGAACTACATATTTTAGATCAATGGCAAGAAAATTAAGATGCTTTCCCGCTCCATGTTCCTGTCCCTGTTGCCACTCCTCCCCTTACCAAAGAGGAGATTCATACCACCGTTGTGAAAAAAGGTTGTATATTCTCAGTGCTTTTCTAATTGTCCTTCCCAGCAGCACCTTCGATATTTACACATTTGTTGTGATTTTAGTTGTGCTTTAATAGCGTAATTTTTGCCTTTCTTATAATATCTTAGATGGGACTAGTACTGCTTGAGGTGGAGGTATGGAACAATGTCTGAGGTACTTGCATCATGGTGCTATCACTTCAGAACACTTAAATTCTCGAGGAGGGGAGCAGTAGAACATTAAAAATCTGAAGTATTCCTTGACTACTTAGGACAGTACCTTGAGACATTTCTTTTAGTTAGAAAAGATTAAAGTCTAGTAAAACTGAATTTTACATCGTAGGTAAGGCAGAAGATGATTAAGAGAAATTATGAAATTTTGTTTGCTTAACCTTGTGTTTGTTTTTGAAAATGTATTGATTGCTAACTAGAAAAGGTGGCAAATGGCAGTTATTTAAAATGGTTCCTAGAAAACTCCCCCTTTCACAGTTATGCTCCATCTTTCCATGCTTGTAATTGTAATTCCACGGTTATGATATCAGACTTTTAATGGAGGATATCACTCGCTGTTAACACAGAAGTCTGACTTCATGTGAAATGAAGAAAAAAAAGGTATCTTTCAGTATAAATAATTGAGGAAATCTGAGAGAGACTGCTTTTATCATCTTCACTTTTACACTTCAGCATTTGCCATCCTTCTGAAAGTTTGGTCACTGTAGTGTAGCTGCTGCAGACACACTTAATAGAAAAGGAGTGAGGTGAAGATGGAAGTTTGTTCCTCTCTTTAGTAAGTTAATTGCACCAACGTTCTGCTATCAGAGGATTTTTAGAACAGTTGCTGACATCTGGTGAACTGAAACAGCACATAGAAATTTTGGAGAAGATTATCAGCATTAACTCCTGCATTGCTTGGAATAAAGAATTGCTATTTAAATATATTTATAAATATAGTCGTGCATAGGTAATGTACTATTTTATGGTATTGACTTTACAGGACACAAGTAGCTGGATTTATGGCTGTATGAAGAACAATTCATCGATGTGGTGAGTAAACTGTTCCTGTTCTTTATTCAAATGGATCTTGTAAGACTACATTTGAATTTAAAGCGTGTAATATATCCTCCTCCTTAGGAAGGGATTGGGAAGAAAAGTAAAATTCTTACTGTGAATAATTCATGCACCAAGAAAACAGGAAAGAATAGGTTTTCTCAAAATTACTGCATGAATGCAGAACAAAATAGGTGAATTTTTTCTTTTTAGCTATATTTTTGACCTTCATAGCAAAAAAAAGTTGTTCTTGTTGCTCTTTTGTGGACACTACGTGCTCTGCTGGATTCCTAAATTGTGTGTTTTGTAGCATCTCTTTAGAATCCTATGATAGAAGACATCAAATGTCACTCAGAGCCTTTCAGAAGAGTGGATTGAAGCATCTCTATTTTTTTCTTACTCCAAAATTGCTGTTGTCATATGAAAAATATGTAGAAATGTGGGTGATTTAGTGATTATTTGAATCAAGTCATTGAAATCATTACAAAATGAATTTAAAACACTAACTTAGCTTACATTTGCCAACTAAGCTCAAAGTAAATTTGACCTACCCTTCAGATTAGGGAAAGCTTCCAGGTAGAATTGAGCTAGCATAGTATTTCTCTGTTCTGGGATCTGTGCTGAAGTATACAGCCACAGAGTCTTGCCTCCAGCTGATAGCCAGATGTCACAATTACTTTTTCCTGATCCAAGGAGAAGTTGGCTGTTCCTCCTTTGTATAACCTTTGATCAGCATCAAGTGCAGGTTAGCCTAGTTCAGGACTGCTACCTAAAACCTCATCTAATAATAGTGGTTTTGCTGTGGAATGTGTCCTGAGGTCATGTAATGCTATTTAGAGAAACAGAAGTATCCTGGTATTCTAAAAACTGTAACTTAAAATGACTGAATGAATGCATTGCAGTTCAGTGTGTTAACTTAATATCAGTACACACCATTTTAGAACTGCTGCAAGCTCTGCAGCAGATAACAAAATTTTTGGTTTATACGGTATGTTTTAGATGTTCCTATAGGAAAAATTAGTACTTCTGATGTTTAAAAGATGCTAATAAAACTGTGTGTTAATTCAATGCCAGTGCTGTTTTAGCTTATTAAAAATTTTCATTATGTGTCTGAAATTGTATGACTGATAACTGCTCAATGTTTTGTGTATGAAAAAGTTAGAGCTTTGCTTAACTTGTTTTTGCAAAACCAAGATTTGCAGTATCTGAAATTATTATAGTTTGATAAATTACTGTGGTAACTAATTGCACTAGACCCAAACTTATTCTCAATTTAAAATCATGTGAATCCATATAGAGAGAAAAGCAGGTATGTTAATCCACTGTCATAGTGTACTGCATGCATAATGAATATGCTCATCCTTTAATGTGCATTAATTTTTCCAGCCTGGAAGCTACTGATTTATCCTGGAGAGCTGAGTTACTTCCAGCCACCAAGGTAAGTATTGTACATAACTTGTAGGAGGGAGAGGTGCTTCGTGGGGTAGTTGCTTGTCATGGGAGAAGGATCTGTTCTGTTTACAGCATTGGAGCATGCAGTGTTATTCCAGAGGAAGGGGTACAAGAGGTGGATGTCTGGGAATGGGCAAGGGGAAGGCTAAGGGGTATGTTTGGTAATGGCTTTTCTTCTTCTTGTTTTTCCTTTTTTCCTTTCTTTTTTTTTCCTTTTTAAATTTTTTTTTAAAGGTCGTAATACTGAAACTTCAGGACTATCCGTCCTTGTCCCACATTGTCATTCAGGTACCGCCCACAGTTGGCAATAAGGTAAAAAAAAATGAAATGCAGAAGTTGCTTGCTTACTGTGTTCATAGCTTTCAAATGCTATGACAGAAGGAAAAGGAAGTATGTTAAATATGTGCTAAGTTCCTTTGAGAAACCATAGACCTACACTCCAGTGTGGTTTGAAGGTTACTTTATCTTCTGAAAGCTCAGAAGCATTTTCATTTGATAAAATACCAAATGCAAGGCATGAGTAGTACTTGAGAAACATACAAAGCAACAATTCTCAAACCAGTTCTTGTTGGAGATCCTGATGATGTTCTTCCTTGTTTTTCTTAATATTCTGGTTGCATTCCTGAATATTTATCTCTTTGAACAGTCAATTCTTTTATCCAGGGTAGTGGAGAATGCTGTAGATAATTGAAGACACCACGTATGGATTCTGGGGAGCATGGTACAGATACCTCTGCAAGCTCTGACACCACAAATAATGTGGTAGACTGAGCTGTGCAGAGTTTGATAGTTCTGAATCTCACAGATGAGTTGGGTATCTTTGCATCAAGGCCTCTCAGGATCCCAGTAAGAAAGAGGGACGTTTGCAGTGAATCTAAGGAGACTTTGTGTCTTACCCTGCTGGGTCTGGCAGGCTTTTCTAGTTAGTCCTGAAAATGGCAGAACATGGAACTTGAATTTAAAGTTTAAGTAGATCTGACGTTTCTTTCTGCCAAACAAATACACTGTCTGTGCCTGTGGTGTAATAATCCATGATCCAAGAAATTATTCACAGCAGAAGTGATTATAATGCTCATCTATCTTCAGATAGTTGTGACAGACACACCTTGCAGTTAAATTAGTAATATACAATGTTCCGGATAAGCAAAGGTAGAAGAGAGATCACTTGTGAAATGTAACCTGCTAAATTGCAGTCCCGTGTTAAATCTTGGAAACTGCTTTTAAAAAGTAAACAAATGCTGCATTTACAATGGGATGGAAAATAATTTTCAAGTGAACTAAATAGTTATTAGAGGTGGTACAACTCATACCTGCTAGATACTTTGGTTTGCTTTTGCATGCGTAGACTTCAGGAGACAAACTAAAGGTTCTTTTTGCTTAGGAAATTGTATCCAGAGTTTGGACAAATCACTCTCCTTTGCAAGACCCCCACCCCCCATCCCCCCCAAAATGATGCACCTGAGAAGGAGGGATGTGAATTGGATTCTAGTCCTTCTCAGCTGTTTGAATAGCCTTTTGAAGGCTGTTGCAAATGTGTGAGAGCTAGAGTAACCTGGAAGTCATACTTAATCTACCCAAACTTGTACTGTTGTGTACAGGAACAAGCTACCTGCCAGTCCCTGTCAATGGAGTGTGGAGAGGTGGCTTTACAGTGTTTGTGTCCTGGAGTCTGCCTGAGCCTGTGAATAGAATTTGGCAGGTGCAAAGGCTTTGTAGTCTTGTGCTTGGTTTAGATCTGTATTTAATATCCTGAATTGCAGTATACTTTGGACTGTGAATTCTTCAAAGAGGATTCCAGAACAGTACAGCTTCCTGTAACACATCTTTTTTCATTTGGTAAGTATAACATATTACTTTTGGAAAAAGCCCTGTAAAACTAATATTACTAACACTTGGATAATACGTTTGCTTAAAAATTCCAGTTTTTGGTGGGCTTTGTTTTTACTAAAGTTAATACTGCTTTTGTTAGTCACAGACAAAGAAATAAGAAATGTGGGCGTTTTAACTAACATACAGAAGCACATAAGTCTCCTGGAAAAAAATAATATGAAGATGTAGTGAGTTCTCAAATAATTTTATCTAATATGTGAAAATAATAATCCTTTACAGGGCTTTCTTCAAGCAAAATTCTATTAAATTCAACTGGCTTACTTTACAATGTTCAGCTCCAGCACTTTAACCAAGTAAGAATACTACTTAATTTTTTTAAGGTAATGCAACCACTGTTTGAGGAATGTGATTTATTTTTTTTTATGTTCTAGATATATCAAGCGTTCAAAATTTATATAGAGAGCCACTGCCAGTCACTCAAAGGTAAATATAAGTCTTCTGAAGTATAAATTTACAAAACAAATCTTGTTGAAAATTCTCAAGACTGAAGCTGGTGGAATCAAAAGTCCTCTCATGCAATGGGGTCTAGGCAGTACTGTTACCTGCTCAAATGTCTCTGCTAATATCTCTCACTTTCCACTTTTTGTTAAGGATAGCTCAAAGAAAATGTGGAATTAGTCCTCGTATGTTAGTCTTACTTCCCAGCAAAGGGAAGTTGTTCAGCAGGATTCCGCATTATGTTGGAAGTGTTTCTCAAGAATAGCACATTTGGCTATGATTTTTATTTGCTAATTATGGGACTGAAATTTGAACATTGAGCTACGTAAGCTTAAACAGAATGGGATGATAAAGGACTTTGTTTAAAAAAAAAAAAAAAAAGTGATGGATTTATTAGCCTGAGTTTGCAGCTTTGTGTTGAAAACCAGAAGTTTTCTCATAACTGTCCTGCCTTTAAATATTAATGTCTTGCTGTTTTGTTCTGTAACAGTGTTAGTTAAAAAAAAAAAAGCCTTTTTTGTTCAATGCTAACTGCACTGATCTGTATTGCAATGTCAATTGCAGTGTAACTGCAAGCCCAGTGATTCTGTGTAGTGATCTATATACCACCTTTGTTTTACTTGCATTTTAGTCTTTGGAGACAGTTGCTACATCTTGTTCTTCATTAACTTTATATTTTTAAATCTCTTCCATTTCAGAAAGAAAACCTAGTGTTTACAGACTTCATATACCCTGGTCACATGAAGACTCAATAACGGTAGCAAAGTAAGAACTTTAACAATTATAACTTCTTGATACGTTTTTGAAGAATGTTTGCATCCTGTTGTGGTAATATTTCTGATATGAGACAACTTCTCCAGTCTTAAGTGTTTGGCTTCTGCATCTTTTCCTCACTTACCTTTCTGCCCTTGTTGACAAAGTTGTTTTGACTTTTCCTCAGAATAATATCTACTAATTGTTTAATAGTTCTCACTAATTTTCTTGAAAAGGAAGTCAGATTGCTAGTCTGAAATTTCAGTCATTGCTAGTCTGAAATTCTCAGCCTGACCTTTGACCCCCTCATGAGTGGGGATAGAGGCTGCTCTGGATGCTGGCTTCTTCCTGTAACCCTGGGTTTGAATCACACAGAAACCCGAAGTTGCTTCAGTAGCATAGTCGTGACAAAATCAAATGATACGGCTTGAGATATGTGTCACTCATGAATTGCAGTTGAACAACCTGACTTTATTTTAGATGGTTGGAAAACTGTCTTTCTTGTTTATTTTAGAGGCTTTAATAGGGATACCTCCCTATTTTTTTCGCCTGTAATTTCTAACAATGTAATACTTGCAGGAAACTGAATTGTATTCTTGAGAATCTGTCCTTGCCTTTATTGTCACTTGTGTTCTGTGAGGCAGTGTGTACGCTACTGCTAAACGTGTCTGTTTTCATTAGTGCTGTGCCCCTTGATAGTTCGGAGGACAGTGGATTGAGAATGTTACGTGGTTCTTTGTGATAGGATAAACAAGTTTGTTACACTATTTTGCTCATAGCTTGTAGTAATACTCGGTGTACTAGTTCTGCTTTATGTGCACTTGTTGAAGACTAAGGCATATTTGGCTTTTTTTGATGATAAGAACAACAATTACCAATTAAGTTGCTGTTTCAGAGCTCCGTCTTTTACTGAGATTTCTGCAAAACTGCATATTGCTCAGCCTCAAAATGACAACAGGGTTCCAGAATTAAATATTTACTCTTCCTCAGACTGTCAGTATGAAGTGAGTAACACATTTATTTTATAGCCAGTTTGCATTGCTGTATAATTTAGTCTTTTAAAACATGTAGCTAATTAATCAAAACAAATACTACGCAAATCTAAAGGTGGACTGTTTGGTCTTTTTGTAAATCTAGTGCATGTTACAACTATCTTGCAACAGCTGGACTAATATTGAAAGTTGGACTCTCATTTCTAAGAAAAACTTTTAAGTATTTGTTTTTAAAAAGCCAGCAGTAAGCTGTTGTACATTTTAGTTATGGGATTGCTGTATTCTAATACTTAATTTGGCTTCTTAAAAATAAAAGTATTTTGTACTTATGCTTACCACTGTATAAAATAGTAAAATATTTGGTTTTTTTATCAAGGTAATTCTGAAGACGTCACTTTTACAGATTCTTGGACAAGTAAGAAAACCTTCTAGTACTAGATTATTTTTTTTATGTTAGTAGCATCTGTAGAAGTTTTCCCTTCTTCCCTTCCCTACTATGGCACTTCATATTCCTTCCTGATGCCAAGAGGAACGCCGTTCAATGATCGTTTAAAACCTTGTCACTTGGCAAGGCATCCCGTCCAGATAAATGTCCGGCCTCAGTTTTCAGAGGAGTAGAAAAGCACTCTAGCTCTAAAGAGCTATTGTAAACGTTGAGCATTTGGCTTTGTGGTTAGCCGAATATCTGAAAGTGATGACACTGTAGGTCACTTTCACTTTCTTGCCCGATGAGTCAGTAGCATTAAAACTTTAAAATACGTTTGACATCAACTAAAAGTTGGGGGGGGGAAGTCTAAGGGGATCCATATGCTCCTTTTCAACAAATTTTCTTTGATGATCAATGAAGAATACATTTCAACATTGGTATCAGTAAAAATAGACTAGCCATCTGCAGCTTTCCAATTCTAAACAGTAACTAATTTGCCAGCACCTAAGTGTAGTGCTAGAATATTACTGGCAAGTTTCTCTATTTGAATGTATGCATTTATATCAATGATTTTGCATTTTGTTATAATTTTAGAAGAATTTCAGTGCTATTTATATATTAATCGGATATCCCTTTATGACTTGGTACAGTGGAAACCAATTAACACACACACATGAAATTTGCTTCTAAAAATTCTTTGCCCAAAAGCATTTGTAACTATATGTAGGTTTTGCTTGGAAAGTGTCCTTTCACTTCATTTATTTTACTGAAACCCCATTAACATGCTGCTGCATTCTTTTCATATTTCTGTTGACTGGGAAAAAAAGCATTCATTTATGATTTGGTCATTTATCAAAACACCTTTGGCTGGCCATTTGTGACAGATCCGAGTATTTTCCATATGTAAGGTTAATTGCTAATGGTGCTTATCAAATACTTATGCATCAAAATGAGAAACTATTTGAAGCTTTCTTAAAAGATTTTCCATTCACATTATCATGCTGGCTTCATGATGTTTGTGTGTGGTTTTATATATATGTATGTTATCCTTATATCCTTGTCTTTCAGATAATAAGGTTCCATGCTGGTGCTTTTCCTGTCTATGTTGTTTCTAATATTCTTCTTACTTATGGAGGACAATTGAGCACATTGATATCAACAGGTAGCTTTCTCAGGGTTTTTTTTTCTGTCACAAGTGTTTTTAAAGAAGTTACTATCAAGTGTAATGTTGAAAGACTAGCTAGTTGTAATTTTTTAAGCTAAGTGTCATTGAACTTGTGCAAGTACTTGGATCTGTGCTTTTCAGTTTCAGTTTTTCTTTGTTGGTAGTTCTCCAAGGTTGTGTTGTAGCAGAATATTTCCTTATTTTACTCTGCAGTACCTTCTTGTGAATGATTGTTGTTGCACAATATTTTAGAATCAAGAGAAATTTGCTTAAAAATACATGTAAAAGTTTAAAATACATTGTTAATATGCACAAAGCACTTGATTGCTTGCATGAAGATGAGATTTGCAGACTAACTTCTAGACATGCCTTCAGACAAAATGCATATTTATTTAAGTGGTGTTTGTAGTAAATTCCTTAATCTCTCTAGAAGCTTGTGTCATGTTACCTGAGTATGAGTGATCCAGCTAATAAGGGCCTCAATGATGAAGTATCCTGACTTATAGTACTGTTATAAGACATAGTTATCTCGTTTTAAAGTAAACTTTCAAACCTTTGTCTGAATTTACATTTTTTGTGGGTCGTCTTTGTTAAAGTTCATGACAAAATAATAACTATAGATGCTTTCTGTTCTTTATTCTAGGGCAGTGTTCAGACTTTTCCCTTGAACTAGTTAGGACAGCGAAACCCTACAAAGTAGAACCTCTTATAAGCATTGTTGTGTTTCTGCAGGGGTGAGTTTCCATAACTTGTTTATTTACAGCAGATTCCAAAACAGAAGTTTCAGAAAAACTATTGGTGGGGAGGAATATTATCTGTAATCATTGTGAGCACCTAACTGTGATTTTGTTTGAAAGGCTGTAGTAGGAGGAATAGTTGATATATATATCTTAGTGTAACAGCAATTGGAAGTGATACGTAATACTGCTTTCATGTCTTTGGCAGGTTTCACTGGTTTAGAGGGATATGGGAATCGTTGTCACTACCAGAGGTGGATGCTGCTGTACTGAGTAGTCAGGATGCGTGGTTCCCCCTTGTGTCCTTGATTCTGTTTCTTTTTGGGACAGGCATTGCCTACTGGAGTGGAGTATTTTTCTCTACATCTCTGAGACTCATATCTTCATTATGGTTAGCTCTGATTAGGTAAAACAACGTTATACTATACAGTTGTGCTCTTTTAGATGACTGTGACTCTCAATTTGCTTCAGTGAGAACGCTTGGGCAGACTGAATTCTGCAGTATAGTTGATTTTTTTCTTAGCCACCTAGGTTTGTCAGTGTTAAGTACTAATGAAGTGTGAGGACTGCCTCATATTCCTTATTCCACAGCTCCAAAAGGGAACATAAATGGCTTTCCTGTTTCCTTCACCAACTGTTATAAAGGTTTTCAGTTTGGTTTTGAGGAAGGCTTGTTGGGGAAGAGAAAGCAATCGAACTATTCCCTTTTCAGCAGCTCAAAAAATAAATTTATATATTTAGAAAAGGAACTATAAGCATTGCAATCCATTCCTCATTGTTCATGTTGGATAAACTACATTAAAGAATGCAAACAGTTTTGTAAAACAAAAACTTCTTGGATGTTAATGTCACTCTACAAGACTGATGAATTTTATAGATTGTGTCTAAGAACACTGGAATGTTTTTACTTTTACAAGTGAGTATTCAAACATGAAAGTGGGTTTAAAAAAAGGAAGTAAGATAAAGAGATTTTGAAAGAGTAGATTAGTAAATTGGATAACATGCTTAGCTATTTTAATGGTTTGACTTCTGACACTAGTAACAGTCTTCAGCTAGATTTGGGCCAGCTCTCTGTCTCCAGAAAGTTTGTTGGGATGCCCTTTACTCAGAAAATATCTGCCAAATGAACTCTCTCTTTTCATCACTAGCACTTCTGGTCTTATTCTACCAAATAATAGCTGTGGTATCAGCTGTTTCTTCTCAGCCATTTTGTATATAAATTACAGTGGGTGCTTCAGTATTAGTTTTAAGTGACAAAGTGATGAACGTAGAAGTTTTGAAACTACCCTCACTAAATGTTTAAGGGTTTTGGCTCAATTTGTACTCTTTTCATTAAAGCTTTTGACTTCCTGCAAACCCTGAGAATGTCTTGGGCAGAGGCAGGAAAGTAAGATTTTGTGTGCCTGCCTGCAAGTCAGCTGGGTCATCTTGCAATTTTAGTGCTTACACAGTGTTAATAATAAGATGATACTTGTTCTCTTGGGCTGAACAGAAGAACTTAGTGACTGATGCAGATCTACAGTTAGCATTATCTAATGCTTTATGTTCACCAATGTATCCTTTATGTTTCCCCAAATGAAGTAAAAAATAATACATTAGTTACAGACTATATTCTAGAAGGTGTAAAATTGTTTTGTAGGTTCATTTGACAAGAAAATTTTGGTGGGGTTTGGGTTGTTTATGTTTTGTTTTTTTCAAAGTAGCTTATGTAGCAGTTGTTAATATATATTAGAATTTGTCTAACTTTATTTTTCCCCAGGGTTTAATCAATATTTAGGAGCATTTTATTCTTTTTGGTCATTCACAAAGCAGAATTATTCTTTGATCTTTGTAGTTTTGATGTTGTTACAAGAGTATAACAGCAGTTTTGTCTTTTTTTAGACCTACTGTACTTCAAAAAGATAAGTTGATTACACCCAGGAGATTCTGCGGGGTGTTATCCCTTGCTTTGGTTAGCTGGACAACTTGTGGTGCATTTGCTGTATTAATTATTTATCTTCAATATTTGTTTAAGGTACTGAGAGGCTAAACATTTTGAACTTATAACTGAATTCAAAATTTTGTATCCTTTGAATTAACCCCATGTTAAAAGCAAAAATACAGATTACCATTTTTCATACTTAAAAGAAATGTTATTATTTGCATGCTTGAAATAGATCTTTTTTAACTTAAGACTCTCACAGTTTGTAATCTTTAGAATTATTTTGTTCTTTTGATAATGCATTTTCCAAAGAAATATACAGTCCCATATGCCCACTACAATAATGCATATACTTGTAATTTTTAACTTATGTATAGGTAATGTTATAAAATCAAAGACTAACAACTCCCTTGAAGAGAAACTAGCAAAGGGAGGGCTTGGAATGTTCTGTCGACTACTTTTGATCTTTAAAGACTTTTCAGAAATCTTTATGGAGTAAAAGGGAAGAGAGTGGATATATTGTAGAATTAGGATACTCTTACTGTACGTCTACTCTGATCCCTTGGCTAGTGCCACAAAGATCCATATTTAGTCCCTGCCATTCAGTTTCCATGGTCTTCCTTGCATCAGAGCATCTAACTTATCTGATTCACCCTATGGTTATATAGCTGCTAAATCAGCTACTATACTTAGCTGCTAGGGAAGCATTGGAGGGTACATCTGGGAGTAGGGGAACAAAGCAGAGCAGCTTACAGATGGTCTGAAGTAGGTAGGTGGCAGGTGAAAGCACAGCCTGAGGAACAGGTCTACCTCTAACTGAACTCCCTGTGACATAAGGTTACCCTGTGAAGGACGTTCCCATGCTGACATGACTCCCCCTTCTGCAGTAGGGACTTTTCTGCAGTGGGACTTTTCCGATGTGGTTTGTTTATGGGTTTCTGCAGAAAGTGAAATAGAACTGAATTAGCAGGAGGAGGTGAGGAATAGGCAGATTTTCCACTCTTTATCCTCTGTCAAGCACAGTGGAAGGAGGAGAAAGAAAGCAGAGCGGCCTAAGTTTTCCCTCTGTACTTCGAAATCTTTCCTTAAGGGAGCACTTTGGATGCTGCTGCTGATAAAGGCAGAGGGAGTTCTTGCATTGCAGCTCCATTGGGGGCCCTAGAATCATCTGGCTATAAAAAAAGGGTCAAAAAATATTTTTTTTCTTGTATACTATAGCTCTCTTGTGAAGAAACGTTACTAAAGCAGCTGAACTGTCTGTATTACAGGTTATAAAACTACATGTGAATGTAAGAGCAGAACAAAACATACTTAATGGGGTAAGTCGTCTTCCTGCTTCTAGTCAAAATTGTGACCAAAAATTGTTTGGCAAATCTGTGCATAATGAATTGTTATTGTCTTGCTTGGTAGTGTTAGGCCATGCTGTGATGGCTGGATGGCACTTACTGTGTGCATGATGTGCCCTGGCTTTTCCTTCATGAGTAGCCTGTTCCATCACATATGACTATTGTGTTCACTGTTCAAGATCACTGTAGTGTGAACTTGTCTGAAGTTCATTTAAGAATAAAACTTAGTCTCTGAGTACATACAGAGCAATAGTTTTTGTCTAAATTTTGGTATTTGATTATGCATGCCTTATCTAAAGAAACAGATTTAATTTCTAGATAATAATCTATATGACAGGTAAATATTTTTTTCCAGATAGGTAGTTTGTGGAGTTTGGGGGGGGGGGGGTTTATCAGGTGATGACATAAGTGATTTATTAGATGGATGTGGACTGAGACTGCAGTAAATTGTGAGCTGTTTTAAAAGGAGTAACAAAGCATTGGGTTTCACGCATTGTGAACTTTTTTCAATTAATTTAAGGTATAAGATCCAAGATGTGAGCATGTGTGGATACAAGCAGATAATAACTACCTGTTCTTTTCTGCAAACATAGTTAAAAAAGCAGCCTGCCAGAAGTTGTTGTTGACAGTTTTCTTTGGGGTTCTTTGAGTGTTTTTTGTGTGTTTAGTCTTAAATCCTCTCCTCTTTTCATCTCCGTATTTCCTCCCCCCACCCCACCCCCCGGTCATTGGAAGTTAGCATCTGCCAACTCATTAATTTATCTTTGTTATTTATTCCTGTAGCTAATGTTTTACTCCCAGTTGTATTACCTCCTGTATCTTTTTTCATGAACCATCATCTGTGATTTCACCCACATGCTTTATTACACCTTTTATTCTGTTCTTCCTCCTTCCAGGAACTCCATTTCTTATCACTGCATTGGTGTCAGGGCATCTCCAATCTCTGTCCCTTTCCTCGAAAGACATATAAACTATTAGTGTAAGAGAAACTTCTGATTAAATCTAGATGCTTTAAAATGGAGCTATTTAACTTTGCTTTTGATGGCTTTTTTGAGAGATAAATTGCAAGTTTTCTTCTTAAATGGGAGCTGGTATGATACTGTTTTTCCTTCCTCCTCCCCCAGCATGGGTTCTTAGAAACCTGTGCATGTTTTTATGACTTTTACCTTTTATTTTCAGGGTTTAGACCGCTCAAAAGAAACTTCACAGAACTCCAGTATACACACAATCAAAAACCAGAGTTTGATGGACAGTACCTCAAAAGCAACACAATCTCTTTCCAACAATACAATTGCTGAAGCTGTTAACAGTCTTAAGATGCATGTTACAATTCTCAATTTATTCACATGGATTGTGCTGCTCAACTTGCCATCTTTAATTTATTGGTTAAAAAATCTCAGGTAACTTCTTAAATTTCCAGTAAGGTGGAAGAAAAGGATATGAACCTTTTGAAGATAGTAAAAATTACAAATGTTTGACTCTCTACATTATTAGCTATCTTATAGTATCAAAGACTTCTGTTACTTACAATTGTTTTTTCTATGCAATCTGGTTTATGTTATGGTATAATGTCCCAGCTGCCAGCTGGGGTGAAACCACAACATATAAGTAGGTGTTAAATGAATCAGTGATATGCTGAAGGAAGTAATGATTCAGAAAGGATTTACAATCAGTCTGTGATGCCATATATATTTCACGTATGTTGGTTTTTATCAGCACATGCTTGTTCCCAACTTGGACTTTATTTCTTAGCCTAGTTTAGAAGTAACATGCTTTTAAAACCATTTTTTGCAGGTACAATGTTAGACTTGATCCTGATCCATGTAGATCTACAGCTATTGTCCTTGCATGCATTTTAGAAATTCTCATGAATTCAAGTACTTCTGAAGTGAAATCAAGGTACTGTAGTCTAATCCCCAGTTCTTGTTTTCCTGCTTCTTTCTTACTACTTCCATTTGTGTGGTAAAACTTAATTTATGCTGCACATACATGTAATTGTTCAGCCTATGTAGAGATTCATAAACTTGTGTGGTTAAATCTTAAAGACTGGGTAAAATGCGTGCAAATTCCCAGTAGTTCAGCTAAGCGGAGCAAATCACTGGTATTTACCACATGGACTTAAATGGTTGCATAAAGACTTCTTTAACTGTGACTTTTTCATTCAAAATTTATTGAATCCTAATACATTTAGCAATTATTGTCAGAAAGTTACAAGAAAAGTGAATTCTAAGCTATTGTAGTTATGTTCTTGTCACTCCCCCTTATGGGCACACTTGTGGAAATGTTACTTGTTTTCTACTGGATTAAGAAGTTTTGAGCACTTGGTTTTGCTGACAGGTAGAGTATTTCTTGTTCAAATATAACATTAGTGCCTCAGGAAAGACAGTGAATAATAACCAATGTAGTCTATCCTCTTGACTGGTACTTGTTAACTCAAATGATCTAAACCATTAAATCTTTCTTCATTATAGAGACCTTAATTCTAAATTAATATAAGAATATTTTAAAATGACATTTTATTAGCCATTTTGAATAATTGCTCTTTCTTACACATCGGTTGGTTTTGCCCATTACACCTATTTGTTCTGATTTTGAACAAATCCTTGAAATCTATAAATTATTTTTCAAAAGAAAGTGAAATATGGTATTTGCCTACCTTCTGCATGTATGGCTACAAAAATGGCAATTTTTTTCTTTATATTCTTACAGTAAACTCTTGAAGATCGCATCCAAGGTTCCACTCCCTTTGTCTGTTGCAATGTTGGCCTTTGGACGAATGCATTTATACAAAGTACCACACTTTGTAACCTTATCTCTTCTTCTACATGTGCTGTGTTGTGTTGTGTAACATTTGTTATACATAGGAAGAACAGTGCAGCTGAGAAACTTGACACCAGAGATGGGAAAATTTCAGCAAAGAAATGCCTAGATTACTATCATCAGTAGTTTATATGATGTGGGAAAGAGGACAGAGCTGTGACTACTTTATGAAAAGTTCATGGTTCTGTTCATGTTGCTTAGAAAGTTTTTCATGGTGTTTATTTCCTGACTGTGAAAATTAAGTGGATTAACTATGTGTGGGTGTAAGCACGTAAATCATATTAGTGTAACATCTCAGTACTCTGTTTGCCTTGTAGACACTTTGATATTTTACTACACTTCTTTGTTGAAACAGACTTTTTTTACTCATTAGGCCATACAGTGCGTATGTTCTGAACTTGCATCTCTTGCAGTTCTAAATTATGCTGGTTAAGACTCAATACATTTCAAGCACACTGTGACTATCACAAAAACTACACAGCCAAGTATTCTTTTAATCATTTGATGCCACATTTAAAAGCTGCCACAGTTGTGTCTAGACAAACTAGAATGTACTGCTTCTATAGAACTGTTATTTCTATCAAATCCTTTGTTCAATCGGTGTGAGTTGAACATTTGTGAGATTATTGAAAGTCTTATACATTTTACTTTTTGTGAGAGTGAGAAAACAATATTCTGTGTAGCTTTCTATTCAGGAAGGATACCAGCAGATTCACAAACAATTTGCTGTAATGTTGTTGTAAAACATTGCCAGTTTTCTCTGGAATTTTGTCAATTCTGAAATTACTCCTTGGACCTTGTCCAGGTGTAGAAGCTAGCAAGCGTTGAGGTATGGTTTGAGCTTCCAGTGCAGTTGCTGTACCACACTGTTTCCAGGTAGACAAGGCAGGTTTCTTTCCTATTGTAGATGGAGAATCAACCATCTTGTAATAAATGTCCATACATGAACTTAATAGGGAATAGTTACAACACTGTAAATTCATGCCCTGCCATGCAGTGCTAACTTCCTCATGTGGACAAGCTCTTAGTAATAGTGGGAAATAGTGACCATAATTATTAGTTCTGTATAAAGTATTATCTTAGTGCCTAGATGCTACAGTGACTGCCATTATAACAAAGCCTAAAATAGCTATGTGTAAGGAATTCTGTCCCCTGGGCCTGTGTTTTGCCAAGAGAAGAAATCTCAGTAGCCATTAGGTTAAAATGATGTATTGATTCTGTGTAGAGATGAGCCTACTACTTGCTTCAGTTAGCTGTCTCCGCTCTGTCAGAGATGCCTGTTATCTTCATATGGAAATAACAGACTAGCTCAGTCATATGAATAAGAGGAAATCTGCTATCCACAGTCAATCAAGTAGATTCTTGATACATTCATTTTATCGTATCTCATTAATCTTGCCTCAAGTGCCTCAGTTAGTTCTGCCATGTTGTTAGGGTCAATTCTTTTGAGCTGGCTGGAGAGACTTAATTCACACAGCGACTTTCCAACATGAAGGGCAAATGTGAAGTAAGCACGTGTTTTGTCCACTTATATCCAAGTCAGCAGTTCAAGTTATCAGTAAGTCATTAAAACTGCTTTAACACTGAGTAAGGCTATTGTAGTTAAACTAACCACTGTCACTGCTATCAGTAATCTATGTGCTGGTATTCTAGTCTTAACCTTTTTTAATAAAGGTTAGATTATACATAGTGTTTGTAAATCAGAAAAGTTATTTGAATAGATTATATCTTGACTTTTTTAATCAAATGTATGCTACAGTATATGTATATAAGATAATTTGCGTGTCTAAATATACTTGTGGCTAAATCCACCACTTGGTTTAACCTAAAAATTGCTGTTCAGACCTAGGAGAATAGTTTTTCTACTTTCAAAAATGGCTGTGAATGAAAGATGGTGGCAGAACTGCATTGGGGCTGGTAAAAGGCAGTCTGTGAAATGTGCAAAATCTGACTTCTGTGGAAAATCTTCCTTGGCCTTCATGGTCCTTTTGGCTTACTATTGTATTTTACTTAAGATTTTGTTTTACCATCCTAATGGGCTCTTTATGGACAAATCCATTTGTTGGAGCTGTTGGTGGAATAAAATAATAATCAGAATAAGGAGAGCAAACGGTCTCTGCATATAGTAGCTTTGATGGCTTCCAAAATCTGCCACAACGTGAAATTTACTGAATTACAGCTGCATAGAAAAACACCATTTTTTTTCCCCATTAAATGGTATTTTTAAATCTGGGAATTGTATTGATAGTTGTTATGACTCTTCATGAAATGGGTTACAGAATCTTGCATAGATTCCTACCTGTTTTTCAGGTTGGAGGTAGGAGTAGGTATAATCCTGAGTCTGAGATCCCAGATGACAGAGTGTATCACATCTCCCTCAATGCTGTCTTTTTTCAGAGGTGATCTACCTTCGCTGGAGGAAGGAGGGGAAGTCTTACTGCTGCTTTGGCTTTAGAGATATTCTCTGTCATTTGCTAGATGAAAACTGTTCCGAGATGTGCATCTGGATTTTGCAGTGATGGTGGATTTCAGCTGTGTGGGAGATTAGGTGTCTAATCCCAACTAGGTTTTTCTATATAATCACTGGAGAGGGATAGGATTAGAACAACTCCAGAGAACAATTCATCCTATACTAAGTGAGGATGAATTATCCTACTTGCCATTCTGAAAAAGGACAAGATTTTATAACAGTCTAAAATTGTTTTTCAGGTAAAATACAATGATTGTTTGTTGTTACTTGTGGAGAAGAGGCTTCTGTTATGTGAATCTCTAGTTCTGCCGCTGTTCACAATTATAAGCTCAGCAGAAATGTAGGCTAACCCAATATAAATACTTTTAATTGCATGTATGAGGAAGTGTAAATATTACTGAATTATCCTGTATTATGAGTAGGCTGCATTTACAAAAGAGCTTTTGGCAAATATATTGTAATGTCTGTTAGTACCTTTAAATTAAAATTCTAGTTTATTCTTCAATTTTAGATTATCTAGACTGTGTGGGAGAAAATCAAGACACAAATTAAATTGTAGTGGATTAGACCTCTGCTCTTTAAGGGAAGGTTTCTATGAACAAGCGAACCCAAATTCTGTTGTTATCTTCTTTTTCAGAAGTTGAGGTGTTAATTTGGAAAACAACTGTTCTTCATACATGTGGATGTTCACCACATTTAGATGGAGATTATGCCACACAATGAAGCATTTAGGTTGAGATTAAGCCCCCGTTTTTTGGTTTGTACCTCAGGATGCATTCAAAATAAGAACTGTTTGTGTGGCTCTCTTCTAATATTTTTTTATAAGCTATCAGAAACAGAATAAAGAAACAGGGTAAGAACCTAGCATACCAAATGTCACTAATTTTAGGTACAGTATAGATGTACAGCAGAATCTTTCTTTGACAGGGGGAGATTTAATGAGAAGCTTTTAGTGACATCTCCATACCTCAAATTGCTCTTGGGGGTCTATAATCTTTTCTAGTTCATATGGATATGATCAAACATATGTTCCCGATAATCTTGTCGTGCTGCAATCATAGTAGCTATACCTGTAGCTAACAGTTCATACAAGGTCTATATTTGCCTGGTAAAGAAAAACTGTTACCTCTTAACTGAAATTACCAAATGTACCTTGAAACTGAATGAATGAGTGTTGTCCAAAGGTGGTATTTTCAGTTCTGATTTAAAAGTTGGTTGCGGTATGTCATGTTTCAGCATCCTGTTAAAAGGAGAATTGTTTTTTGGGGGTGGCTTGGTTAGGGTTTATTTTTTGTTTTTTAAAAAAAAAGCAGTAAGAGGAATTTAAGTTAATATTATATAGATATTTAGATATTTAGAGTTCTGCTCTGATTTTGGTTTTGAGTAAGCTGATACATGTAGCAATTCATTCCAAAATATTGATTTGCTAAGTTTTAAAACAAACAAATGAATAACATAATGAAACCCTAAACAGTGTAGTAGTCATACACTGCAGAAGACTTAGAAACTGCCTGTATGTCTAAGTGAACTTTTCAACTGTAACCTAATTGGGCTACCTTTAAAGTCAGTGTTTAAAAAAATAACATGTATTAATACTTAAAAAAACCAAAAAGCATTGTTGCCTATGTCAACATTTGACACGATGTCTAATTTGGCATGCGTTTGCCAGTAACAAGGTTATGAAGGTTACTTGACTCTTTCTGAAATCTGATACATTTCGTTTTAAGCTTTGACAGGACAGAATAAAGTTGATCATGTGCCTGTGAATAAATGTAAACATTTGAGAAGCTTTCATGTGATCAAGTTTATTTCAATATCGCAATGAGTGCATTTAGAGTTTTGTCTTATTTATACTGAGCAAAACCCAGCCATTTACAGACCTTCAATACTCTGAGTTACTGAAAATGGTTTTGTGAGCAGTTATAGTGTCTGTACAATAATCGTGCTGCTGTTTTAGGTCACTAAGCTAGTAGAAAATTGTTTAGCTGTAAAACAGACTAAATTCTTAATGCTTGTTTTCTATTTCATGATGAATGTTAGTCACTTAATTTACAGTTTGACTTTTTACATCTCTCTTTTTTTCCCTGGGAGATAATCAAGCTAGCTTTTATAAGCACTTAGCACTGTACTGTAAAAGGTTTTAAAACTTCCATCACTGTTCCTTTAAGGGAGACATACTTTTGTCACCAAAGCTACATGCTGCTCTTAAATACCTCTGGAAATGTGTGCCAGTGAATGACAATAGCAAACAGATTCATTTTTATGTTAAAGTAAAATAGTTTTTTTACCTTTTTTAGAGCCAGAACTTTAAGCTAATATTCATAATAGAATCCTTAAAATCTCTAGAAGTTTATTTGAAAATCTTTTATAAATGTATTTTCTGATGTACATTCTAATTTATGGGAGAATGTATTCAAGCTTTTAATCGCTCCTTTATCTTAAAGCTTAAATAAAATCTATAAACTTCATCTTGTTAATAAATATTTACTGCTTTTAGAAATAAATTTTAAGTGTTTAAGGAGAAAATTCTATAGCTCTTACTTGAGCAAATCTGCCCA